TCTTCCCCTGCAGTTTTCATATATAATCATGTTTATAATATATTAAATATTTAATATATTTAATAATAATATTTATTTAATATATTTAATATTATTATTATTTAATATATTTAATATTATTATTTATTCAATATATTATTAATTTAAATATTATTACATATTTTCAAAAATTAAACCACCAAACGCAGTTTCAGTTTTTTTTAAAACTGAAATCAATCTCTGAATAAAACTACCAAACGCATTTTAAAAATAATTCCAAAATGAAAATGAAAACATTTTCATTTCTATTTTCATACAGAAAACAAAATCATTTTAGAACCAATTCCAAACGACCCGATGTCGTTTGTTCAGTGATTCTAGTGAATGGTGCACATTTGAACCCCAGCTAGCTCGATGCTGATAATTTCATGATGAGACTTTTGGGAAAATGTTTAGGTTGAAGACTCGTTTTTATTGATCACGTTCTAAAATTAGTGATGGCTTGGCAAGCACTAGTAAAGTAAATGAAATTCTCGTGGCTGTGAAGGAAAAAGAGAAGAACTCATGCCTGAACTTCTACCAGTAAAACAGTTTCACTACTGGAGACAAATTAACGTCAAAAATGGTAAATGTTGGAAGATTTTCTGATAAGGACAAACAAACCATCTGAAGATGTGTACATGAACCCTATACCATCAATAGATAAGATCTTTCTGCTTGTAGTTGTACTACCTCACCTCCTTTAAGGCGCTTTAGCGGTTTCGCGAACTAGAGAAAGCTTAGCCAGAAGACCACATAACTGAAGATACGAACCAACTCCGTCGCAGATCCTCATATGAGCAAACCCAGTTTCCTGAAAAAGCTCGGACGAATTCAGAAATGAAAGAACGTAAGATTTTGGAGAGGACAATGTGACAACTTGATATTGTCACACATACCTTCATGAATTGCAATTTCAAATACTCAGCCATGTCATAATTCTTAATGATACGGAAAAAGGTTGTGATTATGTCAGTGGGGGAATAGCCCAAATCATACAGCTGCTTGAGACCAGAACAGGCATCATCGAATTTCCCTTCAAGTACATGACGTACCATGTTCTTCACGTGCAACGGGTGAGGCTGGTCACATACCTGAAAACCAACTCATAATCTCAGTGAGTTTATCAGTACATAGGAAAAATACAAAATCCCTAGGAGTGTTTCAATGATGTGACCTTGAAAACATTTTCTTGGTTGAGAAACCGAAAACCACTGTATGTGGCTTGCAAGTTGTTCAGTGCCTGCCTCATGTCACCATCAGCAGTGAAAATAATGGCTTCAAGACCTTCCGGAACATAAGGAACCTTCATGGATCAACCAAACATTTCCACCCAATTATTAACAGAAGTTGGAAACATTAGATGGAAATTCGATTTTGAGGATTAAAGAAGCAAGTAAACAGTTCCAACCCAACAGCTAAGTAAAGTGTACTCATTAGGTCAAGATACAAAATCAAACATGAACCGAGAAGTAACAACACCTTGCCTCGGTGCTATATAACAACAAATGCTAAGGCATACAGCATTTGAGATGCAATAAGATGCCAACAGGGTTTCACCTTTTCGGCATCAACAACCACCATCAAGCGAACAAGTATCTCTTGATCGGATAATCTTGAAAATCGAACAAGGGCACATCTACTCTGAATCGGTTCAATAATTTTGGAAGACGTATTGCACGCCAGAGCAAAACGGGTGGAGTTTGAATATATTTCCATTGTCCTCCTCAAAGCTTGTTGTGCTCCAGATGTCATGCTGATTTATGCGAGAGAAATAAACAATATTACAGAACACAAATAGGCTTAAAAGACCTACAGCACTGTCATGTGCATTTTTCTTCAGTAAATGATCGGTCAGAGTTCAACCATCAATTTAGCGCAACATTGTAATCAGTAGTTACCTGTCCGCTTCATCCAGTATAACTATCTTGTGCCGCCCGGGCGGCAGTGTCACTTTCTTTTGAGCGAACATTTTAATTTTATTCCTCACAACATCGATACCCCTAAACAAGAACACATCAAAGAAGTCAGTTAAAGAGCATTTGTTTTTAAAGTTGAATTACCAAAAAAGAAAAAAAAAAACACCTTAAATGCATCATCCACTCACCTATCGTCTGAAGCATTTAGCTCTAGAACACCCTCTCTATAATTTGGCCCCAGTAGCTCATGTGCAAGAGCCAAAATACTAGTTGTTTTACCAGTTCCCGGAGGACCCTGACAATATTCAACAGCAATAAGTAGCAGCCAAGAAAAACTCTGATAAAGAACATGTAATAACAAAGTACCAGACTATAATATTTTTTTTTTTACTACAAGACTAAAAAATTTGCTTAACCCAGAAACATGTAGGCATATATAACTCAGTCAAGCACTAAAATTTGGCTTCTCTCAGACATCTTTCACATTTCAAAAACAACAACAAAACCAAATCGAGCAGACATTTTTCACTAATAAATGCTTTCAAAAGGCATTATTCCTTTCATTTTATGCAGAAACCAATATAAGCCCATCAGTTCAAGCAAAATATATTTCTATGATTCATTTCAAACTAAAACGCTAATTAGGGTTTACTGTAAAAGAATTTCCAAAATTTCCTAAAAATTAATCCAAAATCCAAAATACTTTTACAAATACTGTTAAAAAATCCTCGGAATATCCCCAAAAAGAAACCCATAATAAAACAAGAAAAAAAATCTAAAAAAAAAAAGAAGCAAATTTCAATTAGATATTCGTATGAGTGAGTTCTGAAATTTGAGCTTTGAGTTAAAGCAAAAATGGTGAGTGATGAGGTGACTTACGGAAAGTATAAGGTTGGGCATATTGCCGTCACGAGCGATGACCTGAAGCCGAGAGACGGCGTCTTCGTTGCCGACGATGTCGATGACGTTGGTGGGCCTGTACTTCTCCACCCAGGGGATGTCGTAGCCGCTCGGCAATGAACACGACGCCATTGCTGCCAGACAAGGAAATGGGGGATTCAGAATTTTGTCGAGATCGAAGACAATAATCAATCGCAGACACCACTCTGAACGAGAGAGACCCGCCACCGCCCAAATCCCAGATTCCCTCCCTTTCTCGATTTGGAGGGAAAATTCTATCCTATGAAACGCTGTGCCCTCGGGGCGTTTGGTAGGCAGGAATCAATAAGTGAAATATTCTCAAAAAAATGATAGAGGGTAATATAATTTTTATGAATAATATATTATTATATTTGATTTCATTTAGAAATATTTTTTAAATTCTTAAAAATATTACGGTGTTTGATTGTTCGCATAAAAAAATTCATAAAAATAATAATATTAATAATAATAATAATATTATTATTATTATTATTATTATTATTAAATATAATAATAAAATAACAATAATAAATTGGAATAACATCATGTTGGGTGGTATTCAAATTACTTCAAAATGAGAGAAATTGAATCTCATGGTAATCACTTTCTTGGAAATTTAAAAATTATAATTCTTGTACCAAACATGGTAATATTACAGATTCTCATTCTCATCCTTAAGATTACTGCATACCAAACGCCGCATAAGGTTTTTTCTTTTTTAATTTTTTTTCTTTTATTAATTGTTTGTCTGTCTTTTTACACACGTCCCCTTGAATTTGTTGTCTATTCCTAAATTAGAAAAATTATAGCAATATCGCTTGAATAGGGTTAAAAGTATGTTAAGATGTCGTTTAATTCATAGATTCAGAATCACAATTTAAAATTATTTTTAATTTATGTATATTTTTTGTGAGAAAAAATATTATAATAAATTACGAATTATAATTTGAATCATTGCACGAATCTTTAAAAAGACGTTTGGTTCATGGATTATAATCATGTGATTAGAACTATTTTTGATTTACGTGTATTTTTTATGAGAGAAAATATTGTAGCGAACCATGAACTATGATTCAAATCATAGTTTGAACCATTAAAATATTAGACCATGCTATTAGGTTATGCTTTTTTTTTTTTGAGAAATACTAGGTTATGCTTTTACAGTCCTGCAATACGTCTGTATGGAGAGAAAAAAAACAGTGGGATACACTTGTTATACATAGTCAAAAAAGCTTTACAGTGCTGCGGAGTTAGACTGATGCGGAGTCAAAATGCTTTTTCTAAAACTTTAGGGTCTCGTTCATTTCACCGATTTGAGTTTTCAGTTTTAAGTTTATACAGTAAAAAGCTCTCAGAAAATGTCACATTTAATTTTTTTCTGCTACAGTGAAAAGCTCTCAGAAAATGTCACATCTCAGCTCGAATTGAAAACTCGAATCCGCGAAGCGAACGAGGCCTAGATAATTTTTTAGGAAAATTTTGGGCCTGTTCTTTTGGAGTGTGACTTGAGTGTAGTTTTTAAGTTGAATTTGAGTTATAACTTGAGTTGAAGTTGTAACTTGAATAAAGTTGAGACAGTTGAATAAAGTTAAAACTTAAAATTTCAATTTTTTCTGAGTTTTGTTGTAAAAGAACAACCCCTTTATTATTCATATAGTAGGCAATTGTCATTTTTATTTGTAAGTTACAACCATTTGTAGCAGGCGTCATCATCATTTTAAATTCAATGTAAATTTCATCGTTTTATTGCTATTGCAATTTTCTTAAATGTTGTCGTTCATTGTCGTTTGTATAACTTTTTCTCGATCACAAGGTTGGTCTTCTACAATAACACAGGCGGCGACTATCTTAAATGTTGTCGTTTTAAACGTTATTTATCATTTTTCTCATTCCTTCGTTTTCGTTCTACTGACGTTATGTAAAATGATGTCGTTTTCTGATGAATATTGTCGTTTTTGTCATATTGTCGTTTTCTGAAAATATCCCGACTCGAAGAAATCGTTGCTACTATCGTTTTCATGATATTGTCGGTTATCCAACTAATAGTGTTACCATAGTTGTAGTCGTCTCATAGATTCGTTGCCCTTTTTCGGGCATGTTGTCGTTTGTTTGACATGTTGTCGTTTATTATGAAATTATGCCGTATTTCAACCACTGTTTGTTCTTTGAAGTAATCTATTGGCCATGCTAGAACTTCCGCTCTCATCTTCACTATTATCTTTGTGTGTTTAAAGGAAAAAAACAAACGAAAACTGGGTTGAAAGAAATTCCCATCGGGTTATGTTTAACTATCTTCATTGTCTTTAAGCTTTCCCGATAAGCAAACGTGAGGTATTAGTGGGACAATCCAAGCTTACATATTAAAATACGGTGACTTAATTTTGTCCATGCAAAAAAGGTGCGTGCCTTTAACATCTTAAAAAAAATAACCGTCTCTGGTAGACCGTCCTATCAGTAAGATCAGTTTTTTAATCGTTAAATCTAATCAAAATCAAATGAGATTAAAAAAATATGTAAAATATATAATTTTTAATACAAATCTGACGGCTGAAAATAATTAAAAATAAAATAAAATTATCGATAGTTTTATTTTCTAGTCATACGTGATAAACTCCCTAAAAAAGACCTAATTTTCATTTTGTCCAAAGAAGACCATCCTATTTGAAGTCATTTCTTTACTAAAACCTTTGATAAATTTGCCTCGACTAAAACTCGATGATAGAAATGTATACATGTAAAACTGGATATGACCCTTTACTCATGTGCGAGTGGTCCATAAAATCCCTTTACTAATATGTCATTATGTCTGTCGCATTCCTGCCCATAATGATAAAATGGCATAATATTATACAATTGATAGGACTTTATAACAAAATGACTATTGGGCTTAAAGCATTTCAAATCATTACATGCAGATTCAGAGAATGGATCACAAGTGGAGTTTTAATGGTATCCAAAATTATACGACCACGATGATGAAAACATATGTTTATTTCACACGTTTAAAATTATAATTATAATTATGCTATATTATTTTTTTCACAAAAAATTTGAATAAAAAAATTCTTACCCATGATTCTTTTATAAAATTTGTATTCAAAATTAAAATTATTGAATTAAATGCATAAACCCGACTAACTATAAGTCTTTAATATTATGTTTAGTGAGGGGCGCTTATAAAATAAAAAAGAAAGGAGAATTAAAATGTCAAAACGAGGACAATAAAAAGGAAGGATGGGGCGTTTCTTTCATATTGTTTGGCACAAGAAAAAGAAAATTATTGAAAAACATATAATTACGTTATAAGCAAAATAGAATATGTATGTGATTGGGGTTTAAATATTTATTTGACATACTAGTTTTCTCAAATATTCTCTCTACTGTTTTTATTTTAAAAAGTTTAGGCAGAGGAATTTAAACTATTTACTTATAATAGAGTAAAGTATAAAATTAATGCTAAATTATGCTTGCAACCATTATTTTCTTTATTATTATCTATTTAAATTTGAAGTGTTAAAAAAATGTAAGGCTCAATGGATTACAATTCTCATTTCGTTCGGTCTCCTTCCTTATTGATCCTATCCAAATTATCTATATTTCATCCCTAATTAGTACGTAAAAAGAGGTAATGTTAATACATGTTTTCAAAAAGTTCTATTACATTCAAGAGGAAAAAACTTATTTGAAAAAAAAAACTAGCACCAAACATCGAATATATATCAATACTAGTAAAAAAAAGCACGTGCAATTATTATAGGACTTAAATTTAACTATTATATTTAGTATTTATTAAAAAATTAAATTTATAAAGTAGACAAATAAGTTTTAAATAATTGTCAGACTCTGTTAATTATAGCTTAAAAGATATAAAGAGTTACGAAGGAGTATAATAATTTTAAAAGGATATAAATAATGGTGAAGGACTAGTTATAAAACAGAAACTTGATACAAATAAATTTTAAATTAATATGAGGTTTTAGTCTAAATAAAATAATGAAATCATCATTTTATCGTGAAATAGAAATATTATTATTTAATTTGACCATTTTCTCGTAGCCCCAAGTAAGTTTTAAAAAGTAAATAAATTAACAAAATCTTACGTAATTTTTGATGAATGATGGTTCATAAGTCACATTCGAAATGTAATACAATTATTATTTAATTTAACTACTTTTTCTCAAGTTCTAAATAAATAAATAAAAACTGTATATATCAAGTAAGGAAAAAGTACAAAAAGTGAATGGCTGGAAACAAAAAATAAATCATTTTTTCTTAAGCTATAAATAAGAGAAAATAATAGATAACAAGAAAAAGTACTAAAGGTGAAGGGTATAAAAGAAAATGCAAATTTAACCGCTATTTTTTAAGTTATAAGTAATAAAAAAGAATAGATAACAAGTAAAAAATAAAAAAAAATAAATGGTATAAATAGACAAAAAAATTAAACCGCATTTTTTTGGGCCCTAAGTAAAATAAAAAGAGTAGATAATAAATAAGTAAATAATACATAAAGTGAAAGATAAAAATAATAAATAACAAATAAATAAAAAATATAAAAGGCAAATTACATAAACAAAAAAAAAATAGTCGACAGCTGCATGCTTCATCACATATTTATTATATAACTAGTAAGAGAAAGCACGTGCATTGTAATGCACGTAATAGTTACATCAAGAAAATTTATGTGTAAAATTGCAATGCAATTAAGTTATAATTAAACTACGCCGCATAAGATAAAATCTAAAACGGAACATATATAAATTTGTGAATATACAGAAATAGGTAAAGAGACAATCAAAAAACGCAAATGAATTTTAATTGAGAAATTATTAAATGAGAAACAACGAAACTTACAATATTGGACGACCTTTAAATACAAGCTCGTTATTGTAAGACCTTATATTACGAGCTTTTTGAGGTATACATTTGTTCTTATTTATAAATAGAAGTCTGCATGAGTTACCTCCTTAATTATCACAACGTGTTTATCCTAGAAAATTGCTCCTCTGACAGTAATTAATTACAATACTCAATTAAATTCATTCTTACGCGTTAAGAATCTGACAAATTAAAAAGATCATGGTTCTTTTCTCATTTGTGTTAGTATTTTCACATTGCTGCTTGATGTTAGTGGGTTCAGATTCGTTGTCGTCAATTGGTTGATATTTTTCTGTCGTAATTATCTATAGTTTTGGATTGTACCCTAGCTACTCAAATATATTTTAGGTGACGTTTGGTTTATGAGTTAGAATTGTAGTTTATGATTCTGATTTTTGAAATTTAAATTTTTTATGAAAGAAAAACACTATAGCGAACCAAAAACTATGGTCCTAAATTATACTAGAGCCCTCGAAACAAATGAAGCATTAGTCTCAAAGAAAAATTAATTCATGACAAAAATATCCTTCCACAATAGATAATCACTTGTGATAAATTTTAGAAAAAAGTGAATGACATAAATAGAAATATAAGTTAAATCGTTTTTTTTAAGCCCTCAAGTAAAATAAAAAAGTCGATAAGTAAGAAGTATAAAAGTTGAAACGCATAAATAGAAATAAAAATTAAACCGTTTTTTTTTTTAGACTAAGTAAGAGAAAATAATAGATAATAAATGAGTAAAAAGTATAAAGGGTGAATGACATAAGTGGAAATACAAATTGATCGCTTTTTCTTAAGCTTTAAGTAAGATAAAGAAGTAAATATAAATAAATAAAAAGTACAAAAGATGAATGACATAAATAAAAAAAATGGTGATAACGAATAAATAAAAAGTTTAAAAAAGGCCTAAATGACATAAATGAAAACAAAAATAAAATTGTTTTTCTTAAACTTTAAATAAGAAAAAATAATAGATAACAAATAAATAAAAAATACAAAGGATAAAAGACATAAATGAAAATACAAATTAATCATTTTTTCTTAACCTTTAAGTTTATTTGTAAATAAAAAATAGATAAAAAATAAAAGGTATAAATAGAAGAAAAATTGGTCGTCATCACATTTTTAATATATAATAGAAATAGAAAATAACGCATTAATAAATTATATTCCTATTTAAAAAATCATAACTTAATAGGCGCGTTTAGAATTTTTTTTAAAATAATTTTATTTTTTTGTATAAAAATGAAAATAAAAACGTTTTTAATCTCAAACAGAAATTATTTTTAAAAATACGTTTGGTAGTTTTATCAAGAGATTGTTTCAGTATAAAAAATCTATTAATATCTCTCTCTGCTCGAGAGAATAGAAAATGAAAACAAAAAATAAAAAATGACTAAAAATTATTTTCTATTTCTCTCTCATTTTATATTAAATTAAAAAATTATTTTTATTTTTATTACACCAAACATCATTTTAAAAATATTTTAATTTTTATTTCTCAAAAAATATAAAAAATAAAACTGAAATCAATTCTAAACACGAGTAATAATTTGCCAGTCGAAGCAGATCTCGTCACCATTCGATGGAATTATGAGAATTCCCATAAGTCAGACTGGGACCCACCTAGGGAGATCAATGACGTGGCACTCTAATTACCGAATAACTGAACATACGTTTTATAAAAAAAAAAGAAGCTAGAAAACAAAAAACAGCGTCTTGATAATAGATTAATTAGCAACAATTATCTTTTTAATTATTAATAATAATTATAATTAAATTAAAAAATAATAATAAAAGGAACATTGTCACTATCGTCGTCCATCTCCAACCTTCCATTTCTGCAGAGAAGTTCTCAAAACAATCCAAAATTCACAAAATTCTGAATTCAATTTCGATTTTCTCGATTCTCGAATCCAATTTCTTTCTTTGATGGGCTAAATCGGATTGTTTCGAAGGGTTAGGGTTCCAAGGAGCTGGAAAATTCCTAGATTTCTCTCTCGAACATGGCGTCGGCAAGGTCTCCCAACCGATCTTCGGAAGACATCGTGGACACGACGCCGTTTCTCGGCGGTTCCTCGGAGGACGGCAATTCGGCGAGCCGCCGGTTCGTGCAGAGGCAAAGCCTCCGCCAGGCGGCGCGGTTCCTCCGGCAGGCGAGCAGCCGCCGGCTGATGCGCGAGCCGTCGATGCTGGTGCGTGAGGCGGCGGCGGAGCAGCTGGAGGAGAGGCAGGGCGATTGGGCGTACTCGAAGCCCGTGGTGATCCTTGACGTCATATGGAACTTCGCCTTCGTCGTGGCGGCGGCGACGGTGCTGGTCCTCAGCCACCGCGAGTCTCCGGAGATGCCGCTGAGGCTGTGGATTGTCGGATACGCTCTGCAGTGCGTGGTTCACGTGGTCTGCGTCTGCGCCGAGTACCGCCGGCGGCGGCGGCGGCGGCAGAGGAGCTCGTCGAATCCGGCGGAGGAGGGGAGCGGTGGGAGTCTGAGTTCGGCGTCCGGGGATTCCGGTCAGTATGTGTCGTTGGCGCAGATGAACGACGAGAGTAATTGGTGAGTTCTATGGTGAAAACTTAAAATTTATTTCTTTTTTAATGTTGATAGTTTTGATTTTAAATTATTGATTGCTGTATGCCTATACTTTTCCATGATTCGTACTTTTTTTGGGGTAATAATATGGATTAATCATCAATTCCTGAACTTTTATTTGTGATCTTCAGATTTTTTAAGCTTAGAAAAATGTCTGACTATGCAACTCCTGTTGCATTTGTGAGGAATAGGGCTCGGGGGTAAATTGAGATGAACTTTTATAGTTTGGGGAATTATTGAAATTAGTCTCTATGTTGATGAAGGGAAAAAAATAAACACTCGATAATTTTGAAACTTTTTGAGGGAAGAAAGAGTTTGAGGTGGTTTTGTCTTGTTGAATGTTAGCAGTTCCGGGCATATTGGAAAGGAAAATGATGCTCATCATGAAAGAAGCTAACGTTGTGAAACTGAAACTGAACTTGTCAAGGATAATTAAATCGGGATAAACCAGTTATGACGATACGTGCTTTATTTTTTAGTTTTTAGGTCCATTTTATTTGTTTGATCCAATGTTGTTCGGAAACAGACCATATTGCTAAAAAATTATTTGCAAGTTGTTAGTTCCATTTAATACTTTTGATCTAATGCTTAAATGAGATTGCTCAAAAAATCTATATACCGACTATTTTTTGCTTTCTCCTCTCAGCAGTGTGGCAAAGCACCTGGAATCTGCAAATACAATGTTCTCATTTATCTGGTGGATCATCGGGTTCTATTGGGTTTCTGCGGGTGGTCAATCTTTAGCCCAAGCCTCCCCTCAGCTTTACTGGTTTGTGCTCTCTTCCCCTCTGAAATTTAAATATTAATCTGCAATCAATCTTACCATGGGGTTTGCCGTTTGGACTGCAGGCTTTGTATAATTTTCCTTGGATTTGACGTGTTCTTTGTCGTTTTCTGCGTTGCATTGGCATGTATCATTGGGATTGCTGTTTGCTGCTGTCTTCCATGTATTATTGCTCTTCTATATGCCGTGGCAGACCAGGTAGTTTTATAATTCATGTGGGCTGAATGAGGTGTTGAACACAAACAAATGTTCCAGATCTGTAGCATCTATTTGTGATTCGTTCTAAAATTGAAACCTGAAACAGATATTCTTTCATGTGTGTATCCATAATTAGCCCATTAAAAAGTTTTTTAGTCCTCTTATATCTCTGCAAAGCGTCTTTTAGAATGAGTGGTAACATCAAAGATACTGAAATCTTGGTTAGAAGTCTTGGTGTCCTAAGTGGGATTTTCCTATCATTCTCTTGTCATACTTCTTTTGCAGAACTCAATTTGAGCTGGTTCATTCAGGCAGAGTTTGTGAGCCGATAGTCATGCTTAGATGTCCTTTATATCATAGATGAATTAAAGAGTTTCATTCAAATTGGCAGCACACTTGCCTCTCCGTAAGTGTGATTTGATTAGGACTGAGCAAGATGGATATAATTACTGAGCCTTTCACTACCAACATGTTTGTGTGCTTTTGTAACACTCACCGTTTTATTGGAAATCTAACAATTTAGCCTCATTTTGCCTTGTTTTTATATGCTTTTAAAGCAAATGAGAATAACTTTTATTATCATATTAATGTTATTGGAATAATTGTCGCTTTATTCTTTTGGCATCCTTCAGTTATCTTATATGATCTGTTGTCAAAGCAGGAAGGAGCATCAAAAGAAGACATTGAGCAGTTGTCAAAATTTAAGTTCAGCAAAAGGTGCAGTAATGAGAAGCTTGCTGGTGATGCACAAGGACCTTGTGGAGGAATTATGACTGAATGTGGCACAGATTCACCAGTTGAACACGTTCTATCACAGGAAGATGCGGTATGCAGATCTATTTTGCTTTTGTATAGCTTTTATGCACTTGAATTTTATGTACAGTCATTTTGCTTACTGATTGTTTAGCGGGTTAACAAACGCACATCTAATTTTCTCTCTTTCGGCAATGTGTTAGGAGTGTTGCATCTGCCTTACTGCTTATGACGATGGCGTGGAACTGAGACAGCTTCCCTGTGGTCACCATTTTCATTGTTCCTGCGTTGATAAGTGGCTTTTTATCAATGCTACATGTCCTCTTTGCAAGTACAACATTTTAAAGAGTAGCAGCTGCAGTGAAGTTTAGACGACTTTCAAAAGATTGTATGGATTGTGCACGGTCATACGTCTCGGAATTCTTTGTTGTTTGAGCATTAGTTTAATGAAAATGTTTGTTACTCGACTTAATGCAGGCATCCTCTATATGTTTTTGGCGTTGTTAATTCCTCGTCTCTTAGTTGTAACAGTTGTTGCTGCATAGCAACGACGAAGATGATGCGTTCCACTTGTTTACGTTGTATATCGGTGTGCACGGGGCATTTTGGTGTATGATTATATTGAAGGGCAGTTGTTCTTCTCCTATTTGTATTCGTCATCTTTGTATATCTATGGGGCACATTGCTTAATAGCTTAAGGGCTTTTTAGCAGAAGAGGAGACAAGGAAGAGCGAAAAAGGCGAGGCCTGGCCTGGCCTGTGCCAGAAACTATATTAAAGTTGTGTTAGGAACTTACCAGAACAAAATGCTACGAGATGTTTGCATTGTCATTTGCATAAAATTAATAAAAATGTTCCGAGGATAACTTTCCACGTACGACATTAAGGAGATGTTTGGTTGGAGGATTCAAACCATAATTTGAATCATGATTCATGGTTTGTTACAGTGTTTTCTCTTACAAAAAATACACGTAAATCAAAAATTGTTCTAATCACATGATTATAGTCCATGAACTAAACGTATTATTAATGTCATGTTTGATAAATAGGTTCAAAACCTGGTGGTTCGAACTTTTGTGATTTGAAATAGAAAATTTAAAACACGTATAGAAGTTGGTGCTAGCTCTTTGGTGTTCGGTACCATCCTAAAATACACATTAACAATACCACATACATGCATAATGTGACATTTTTATAATGTTGTGCTCATTGGGAAACATTGAAAGTTCTATCACCTGAATTTTACAGAGTGTCTGTAACACCCTGAAAAATTAATTGAGATTAATTAAGGTAATTGAGATTATTAGTGTGCCTAATCTGATTTAATTAATTGAGTTTGATTAATAAATGTTTCTGACGTGTAATTTAAATAGTTTCAAGGTATTTAAATTATTCTCAGTAATTTATTTTAACCCATAAGTGTGTGTGGGCGCATTTCTGAACTGTTATTTTAAAATATTGTACACATGTCATTTTCATTTTCTTTTATTTCCTTCCTTTCTCTTTCCTTTCCCATGCACTCTCTCTCTCTTTCGTCACTTTCACTGCCGTGCTCTCTCTCTTTCTCTCTCACTCTCGTTTTTATCCCAAATCAAACGGATCTTGAACCGAGAAAGGATTTAAAGAAGTTTTCAACGTCAAGAGAAGGATTCAAGGTAAGATTACTGAAATAACCTCTCTTGAATCTCAAGTTTTTGAATTTCAAAACTTATTTTTGGTTCAAACCGGATTTTGATGGTTTTCGAGTAAAACTATAGTAGAAATTGGAGATCTTGGGTTCTTTGAACTTGTTTTAGGACCTAGAACCCAGATCTAGTGGGTTTTTTTTTGAAATATCTCGATTTGGGACTGAGATTTGCAGGTTTTGGACTGGTTTGGTCGACCTATGCGGTCGACCGGATTGCATGTTGACCGGTCGACCAGTAGTGTTGCACTGCTCTGTCACTGGTCGACCGGTTGACACGAGATTTGACCATGTTTGGCCTGAAATTGCTGTTTTGACCCCTGTTTTCGGGGAGAACCCAAATTAGCTTCATTTGGGGACTTGAGATGAATGGATTAACATTTTTAATCATTGTTTTGAGATTGAAAACCCTTGAAATGATAATTTGAAACATGAAAATGGATTAGGGCACACTAATAGGAAATCTTGGTTGGAAATTGAGATTTGGATTGCTTTAGGAATGAGAATTGATCCTAAAGTGTTGTCTTGCATCAGTGATCTCTGAGGATTCAGACTGAAGGGGCTTGAGGAAGCGGAAGCCGGAAAAGGCAACGCTAGTCCCAGGTTTGATCGTGCGAGGTAGGATTTCTATCCCTTTTCTTTGTGAGCCTGTTTTCAAAAAAGGATTTTGGCCTTGGAAATGTTTTAAAGAAAGGGATTGGTTTGTGAAAGAAAAACGCTTTGAAAACCATGACTTGTTTAGTTATGGAACCTCATGGCTTGTCCAGTTATGGGGCCCGCGCCTTGAGTAGTTCGTGGGGTCATATTAACGATTTCAAAATGTTAATGAATGATTTCTTAATAAAGAGATCTTGTGAACCGGTAAGAGAGTCTATTGCTGTAAGCCTAGATAGGATGCGGAGAGTGCATCATCGGGGGCAGATCCCGAAACTCGGTCCAGGTAGGCGAGACACTTAGTTAGGTAAGTAATTTGTACTAATTACTCGTTGAAGCCTGTAATACTGTTATTTTCAGTTATATTTCCTTTGAGAAAAAAGATGTGAGGTTCCGGCTGTTCCGTCGGGACTGAATATCTAATTTTATTTACTTATTCATTCATTAATTTACTCGCTCATTTATTTATTCATTTATTTTAAGTCATTTCAAATTATATCTTACTGGGCATTTCGCTCACGTTTTATATTTCAAATGTATTAAACCCCTCCCAGAAGACTCTAAGAGCGGTGCACAGTAGCTGGATAATTGCTACGGAGCAGCTGAGTTGTGCTGCTGTTAGAATCAAGTGAGGATTGTGGACATCCTCTTGGATAAATGTAAGGAATTTGAGAAATTCTGTAAACTTATGTAATACTTGGATTACTAGACTGTGGTTGATGTCTGTTGTAATGATTATTTACATGAGCATGTATGTACGATACTGTATGTCCTGTGGGGTGGAGCCCTGTGTGTCAGAAGCTCCGGGATTCTGTAATTTATTCATATTTTTATTCAGTTGAGTGGGACTCGTCTGAGAATCTACTTTATTAACTCCTAATCGAGCTTCACGTCACCCACTCCGTTTGGGAGACGTGACAGTGTCACATAATTCTTATGCAAGGATATATTATTTGTCCGTGTTTAGTTTTGAATGGTAGGATTAAAAGCTGCCGGCATTGCATAGTTTTGGACAGTAAAAAATAAATAAATCTAACAAGTAAAAACTTATTAAAAATCTTTAAAAAAAAAAAAAGAACTTGATAAAAATAAGACGGCTCACAGTTTCACAATACTGATAATTAAACGAATTTTTTTTCTCATACCCTACGGCAACTCCTCCATAATTTATTCCCTAAAGAACCTTTTTGATTCTGAGAATTATATTTATTAACAATCTAATTATTACACTCTCAATTTACCTTGTTTATTTTACTAATTTAAATTTAATTATAATAAATTTTTTATAAATAATTAAATTTAATTTTTTTATTATAATAAAAAATTTTCATATAAAATTACATCTCAATTCATCACGAAACAATGTGAGAAAGACTTTCTTCTTTATTGTCCTTTTCGTTTGTTTATACCTTTTATACATGCTTCCCGACTGGCATATAGTGCCATCAAGATCCTTTTCTCTTGGGGGCGTTAATCATAATTATGAAGAAAAAGAAGGACCGAAACAGAAAAGGAAAAAGTTCCAAGCGTGAAATAAATTTGTCGTCTTTTATCTCAGTATTTTATTTCCTTTTTTTTTTTTTCCCTCTGCTTTGGCGCTCCTCGAAAAAGCCTGCCATTTCCTCCTTCTTCGTTTCTCTCTCTCGACAACGACGATGAAGACGAAGACCTAACTGGCTATGGAGGATCGAGAAGCTTCTTCTCTTCTAGAGCGATATCGGCGCGACCGTCGAAAGCTCTTGGAGTTCCTCCTCTCGTCAGGTCTGGCCAAGGAGCTTCGAACTCCGTCTGGTCCCACCACTTCTCTTTCTCACATCGATTTTGACAATCTCAGCGCCGATTATGTCCTCGATCGTCTCTCATCAGGCAAGTTTGCACTCTTTCGCTTTTCCTTTCTCTGGAAAAGGAAACGGAAAGTTTCGTTTTGTTTGGTTGCTAAGAAAATCTGTGAGCTGGAGCTGAGAAAACTTACTGATTTTACTAGTCTCAGCTGAGCGGAGGCTATTGGTCCTCTTATTTCTGCTTTCTCGGAAGTCGAAGTTACCTAATTTTGTGTTTTTCTAGAGTCCAATTCGAATATTCCGTTCATTTTCTTTGAGCTGCCAGTGCATATTTTGTGTCAAATTTTCATTTTTCTATATATTCTAGGCTTCCAAACAGAGTTTTTTCTTTGTCTACTCAACGCTGAATTTGGTTATGTTGTTTGAATCGCTACCGTTCTCTTTGTTTATCAGGTGCGGTGGTTGATGTTTCTGAAGCTAGCAAGAAGTACTTGAATGAACTCGATTATCCGGTGACGGTAAAATTCATATCATATCTCTCATTTATTTTCTCGTATTTTGTTTGAATCAATTGTTTTTAGTTATTTCTCCACTTTTGTATGTTATTGGAACAGAGAGGTAGAAAATAGATAACTAATCTTTAGCTAGGCCAAAGGTGGAAGTGCTTTGGAAATTCAACTTAACGTTAATGTGGAGTACAAGTTATTTAGAAACATTGTGTTGCCGTTTTAGGCCACTGTAGTACCTGACATTTTCCAACCTCCGTTCGCACTACCACCGTTGTTAATCATCAGCCCAGATGAAAATCCTTGCTCTGCTGTCAATTTTTGTGCAGTGGAATTGTGTTTGAAACAAACACACAAAAAAAGAACACTTAAAAAGAGATTTGGCTGAAACTTTGATAAAATATTATTGATAACTTGTTAGAACTTGGGGTTTAAATAGACAAATTCAGATTAGAAATAGGAAACTAAGTCAAACGGGAAACTTAACAAATTACAAAGAAAATACTAAATAGGAAACAAATAAATCTAAAAATCAGGGAAACTTTAAAATAGGAAGCTCTAGGATAGGGAACTGTTTTCCTTCTGTCCAACGTCATTTTTAAACACGCCACATTCTCAATTCTTTTGACAGATCCATTCGCAGTCAGGCACTTCTTACTATCTAGTTTCTGAACCAGAATCAGTTGGATCACCTCCTCGCCGTGCACCTCCTCCCCTTGAAGAGAAACGAACTGTTGAAAAAGTGTCATCTTCTTCTTCTAGACAGATGGATTCTTTGAATGAGGAGAACACTGCAACAGCTGGGGATGACTATGGTCGTAAATACAAATCAAATACCATAAAACATGTCAAAGTTCCCCCTCTAGGATTGCCTAACCTGCGTACAGGTATTCATTGCTTTGTGTTAAATAAAGGGTTGCTTCCTTCCTCTCTGCCCCCATCTTTTTTTTTTTTTCTGTCTCTAGTCAGTTTCTGTGAAAATGAGATGTTAAAAAAGAAAAAGGAAAAATTAGTTATTCTTATGATTAATGGGAGGAGGGGGACCAAAGGCACATGCATTCCCAAAATTTTACAAATGCATTTGAATTGATTATGTACGTATCTTAGGCCTCTGCTACAACCATTAGATTGGCTCCCTCCTTTTGAATTTCCTTGTTCTCCAAAAATATGATGTCTTAGTGCGTATGAATTATACTCTTATACACCTTATAGCTAATGGACTGCAGTTTGCACCCCTGAGTCAACAGAGCTTGTTTTTTACTCAAGTATGATCATCATACTCCATGAAGATATTTTAGGTTAAAACAATTCAATGATAATTCTTTTTGTAAAATGTACAAAATTTGTATGCTATAGCTTTGGCCTCTCCTCTTTGAGTACACTGATACATAGCTTCAGTATTTTTGAAGGACTATCTGATGACGATTTGCAGAAATCAGCATATGAAATATTGCTTGCATCAGTTGTATATTCAGGGTAATCACTCACTCTCTCTCTCTCTTAGTTTTCTGTGTCTATGGTGGTCTCTGTGTCCATTTCCATTACATGTTGGAAATTCACTTCTCAATCACTTTACATGTACCAACCTCTTATATGGTGTGGAATCAGCGTCTCTTTATCTTACTTGCTTTTCTATTCTCATATTCTTGTTGTGCAACTAGGGTTGAAATCTATGTAGTAGAGGAAAAAAAGAAAGAAAAGAATGCAAAATTCTTGTTAGGATTGAAGAATAAGAAGGAAAAGCCACATGCCCAGTCTCATTCTCTTGACAGACATTCAAACCTCATCCGTACTATCCGCCTACAGATGCAGGCAAGCTAATCTACTTTTCTCAATTAGTGGTTTCTCTGATTTGTACGTGCCTGATATGAAGTAATGCAGGCAGACTCTGAAGTAGATATATACTTTTGTCTAAGTTGGATTTGCAGCAGAAAATTAACTAATTTTAATGGAGAAAACATCATTTATATACAGTAAGCACAAGGACATTGTCCTCACAAGAAGTTGGTTTGTGAGCAGATGTGTTCAAGGGATTCAAATATCTGTCTTGAGGTTCTGGTTTCGAAGGATTCCTCAATATTTGTCTAATTATTTATTTAACTGATAGTCAACTTCTATTGCTTTCCTTTCGGTTTACTGTACTACACTTAAGTCTTCCTCCTAGATTTTCTTTTATATGTTGTAGTCTTTCTTTATATTCTTCTAGGTTCTGACAAACTTGGATTCTGCTGTCTAGGCATACCTCTGTCAAATGTCGGAACTATTTTAGTTTTCTTTTCTATTTCACATTCTGATGTTTTTCTTCCACTTATTCCATTAAACAATGTAGGAAAAAGAACTTGTTGAATTTAGTTGCACTGCAGATTGCAAATTTGCGGAGTCTAAAATGACTTTTCGTGGCAGGCTTGAGTACACTTTTACATGATGCTTCTTTGTGGATATCTTACCCTCCTTTTCATTTCCTGCTTGTACTTTATTCAGATATTTTTACTAATATCTATCTGTTTTTTATGGAGAAAAGTTTCATTTCTGCATTATTTTGTCTTTGTCAGATTTCAGAAGCAATGGATTTATGTGTCAGGCGTAGGTTGCAGTTGCCTACAAGGAGAACATATGGGAAAACGGACATTCCTCAAATTTCACTGGGGCTTTTGAATAGCATTTTCAAGTCTGATTTTTTGCATGAAAAGTCTTATATGCAATGGAAGAGTAGACAGGTAATGTTTATGGTATTTCATTTTTATTAATCCTTTGGATAAAAAAATGTTTGATCACTTATGGCCTTGATGTTGTCAATCGATTAGACACCTAGCACATGACCATTGTCGGTACAGACAAGGATGAAAAGATTTGCATTGGTGGGAATATTGGTGCTCCAAATTTAAAGAAACTTTGGAAAAAAATATCAATTCAGTGGAAATATCATGAAAAAATTATAGAAACCATGATATTTGTTTTAAAACTTAATATTTCTTTTTGATAATTGAGGATATGATAAACATTGAAAAAATAATAAGGAAGTTTTACATAAAAACTTTATAAATATTAGATGACCTATAAAACTTTATAAAAACTTTATAAACTTTTTCAAAAAGAAAGTCCTATAAAGCTCAAATGTGATTGGAACTTTCATCGCAATTCAAGCAACATTGGTATTTTAGCATCCTAATCTATAAAGGCCCCGTTCGCTTCGTGGATTCGAGTTTTCAATTCGAGCTGAGATGTAACATTTTCTTAGAGCTTTTAACTGTAGCAAAAAAAGTTAAATGTGATATTTTCTGAGAACTTTTAACTGTAGAAACCTAGAACTGAAAACTCAAATCGGTGAAATGAATGAGGCCAAAGTGTACAAACATGCTAGGTGATAGAAATGTATTGTTTAGCTAATAGAACACGATAAATTAAAGAAAAAAAAATCTTTCTAATGTATGTCTGCAATATTTTCCTGAAATTTTATGAAAAAGTACACTACAACCACATGGAAATCAATGTTTTTACTGATATTTATTTACCAAATTTTTTTCCAAATTTTGTCAGAAATTTTTTATACCCAAAAGACATACCAAGACCTTAGAAATTTTTAAATTTCAGAGAAAATCTTGGAAATATCAGAAATGTTTTTGGTCGTGGGCACAAACAGTTTGTCCAAGTTCCTCTTTATATCACACTAACGTTATTCATGGAAATGAAATGAAGAACTCCAAACATGATTTAACATGATGGTTTACAACTACTCTGTTAGGTTGGTGTCCTGGAAGAACTTCTACAGTATTCTGTCAATCTTGCAGCACCTGAGCAGCTAACCATTAAGAGTTCACTTGCAAATATCAGGAATTCAGAGGTATTTCCTTATGATTTGACATGTAAAGCAAGTGCTTCTGTCTAAAGGAATTAGCTCTGCCCGCTTGAAAAAAAAAAAAGCTTCACGATCACTCTTCAGTTGATGTAGACCTGCTTGTTATTTCTTGGATGTTGCAGCGATGGGACATGGCCTTGTCTCCATCTGAACGTGTTGAAGTTCTATCAACCATCAAACATGTTGCTTCAAAGTTATCATCTCTACCTGGACGATTTGGCATTGAAAGTGAGACCTGCTACTGGACTGCTGGATATCACTTGAATATGAGACTGTACGAGAAGCTGCTCTTTAGCGTGTTTGATAGTCTTGATGAAAGCCAGCTCATAGAGGTATGCGCTTCATTATAGTGAATTGAGTTAGAAATTGAATTTTTGTTTGCCTGAATCTCAATTTTTCTATTTTTTCCTTTTATTAGGAAGCTGAGGAAATCCTGAAGCTTATCAAATTGACTTGGCCAATATTAGGCATCACTCAGAAAATTCATGATGCAATATTTGGATGGGTTCTTTTCCAACAGGTGAACATTTTATCGCCAATGCTTAATATTTATGGAGCACGTTCCTCTGATGTTGCTGTAAACATGAATTCTAACAAAGAAAAAAAGAGAAGAAAAACAACACACAGACATGCACACATTCTGGTTTGTGTGGATAAGATAAAACTTTATAACGCTGGATTTAAATTTAAGTGCATTGGTTGAATATGGGAGCTGACAGAATGTCTCAATGTCTTTCTGGTGACAGTGTCCCCCCCCACATAATATCATGATTTCTGAAAGAAATATATGCAATATCTATTGTCCATCTAGGTCTTCTTAGTTGATGATTATTAAAATCGATAAAATGCAGCTGGTGGGAATTTACTTGCTTTATTATGTCCATAGAAAAAGGGTTTCTGGCTTGCATATTTAAATGTTTCTACATAGTTACTTGGACGTGTGGATTTGTAAATTTGGGCACAGAATTCAAGCCCAATCATTTTGCCAAAACGGCTATTGGTTGAGCTTCAATCTTAACTTCATGCTTTGCACTAGCTATAATCCTTCAACTTTATAACTTTCAATAGAATATTTCAGTGCTGTCAGTAATCATATTCTAATGGATAAATCCACATTGAAGTTTGTTGAAACAGATGAGGCCAAGCTTTTAGAATATGCAATCCTCGAGTTACAGAAAGTTGCATCAGTTGAAGATGATGATAAGGAGAGAATTTATACGGATAGCCTAGCCTGCCTAAGGCAATGCGGTGGCAATGAAGTAAAGCTAAGTTTGATTCAGGCTATATTCTTCTCTATAAGCAGTTGGTGCATTGGTAAACTGCAAGACTACCATCTTCATTTTAGTCAGGTTAATTGCTTTTCTTTTGTTATGTACACTCCTAATTATTTTTTGTTCTTGCTACTGAAGCTTAGTCTCTCTAAATCAATGTATGGAAGTATGACTACTGATTTTTTTTCAATATGGTTGGTGATTATTTTTAAAATTTCTCTCTTTTAAATCAACTTTGGCCGTTCTATTCAAATTTTTATTTATCATTAGCCTATTTCTTACTATTTTCTTTCTGATTACGATATTGTTATTCAGCAACCTGGTAACTTTAAGAGGGTGATGACCTTGGTGGCAACAGTTGGAATTCCAACTTCTAGCAGCCATGGTGATATAAAGGTTAGCTTTATTTTGCGCTCCGTGCTGTTTAAATCCATAATGCTCCTGCACATTTAATTCACTAAGCGTTAGTCTCATTTGGAGAAATAATAATAAAAAAAAAGGTTGAAACAGGCAAGGCAAATTTTTGCGAGGTGGTTTTATATGTTATTCTCATGCCTCTTGATTTTATTGCCCATTTTCACGTTGAATTTAGACAAGAATTAGTTTTTATGTTCACGTATTGGTGTTATTAGCTATAGTTGCTTTTGCAGACCAAAAAAAATGACCCAGTAGTTCTTTTGACAGTTAACTTTTCATGAATGCAGATGGGGTTAACTAGCTTTAATGTTTCTGACAACAATTCTTCTAAAATAATCAAATCATTCGTGGAAAGTTCTATTGAAACTGCGTACAATCGGGTAAAATACTCTTTCTGGTATTTTCTTTATATTATGTTTTAGTTGTCTCTTTAGTGTTATAGGTGAGATTGATATGCCTCTATTGTAGATATCAAGCAGTGTAGATCTTGAATCAAAGGTGGAAAGAAAGCATCCTTTGTGTCTGCTTGCAAATGAACTTAAATTGATTGTTGAGAGAGAAATCAAGGTGTTCTACCCTGTACTACGTCATTGGTGTCCTGAATCTGGAACAATTATTGCCATCCGATTGCATCATATTTATGGGGAAAAGCTGGTCAGTTTTCTATATCTAAGTAATAACCATCTTCTCCGCTGTTTTCTTTCCTACTAGACAAAAAGTTTTGCAGCTGGTGGATCTTTATTGATACTTATCTTAATTTGTAGGAAAAATTTCTCAAAGAAGTCTTGTGTCTCTCTGAAGATGCTCAGTCAGTGCTTCCAGTTGCTCGTTTGTTGGATTGTGATTTAACTAAGCTGTATATGCTTGCTTGTGGAGAAAATAGCCATGATTTGCATCATTATCCTGTTAGTATATGAGGATTATTATTTTACTAAGTTTTTGTGAATGATATGATCCTCTGTGTTTTCAACATCAAATTAAATAATGCTCATTTGACTTTTTGTGCAGATTGGGGAAGTTGCGAAACGTATCATTCTTGATTGGGTGATTGCTCGGCATTCACATATATTGGAATGGACTGGGAGAGCATTTGATATTGAGGTTGGTTCCACGTGGGAGTTGGATGATGTTACTAAAAAGTGCAGTTCTAAAATTATAGTACTAGTCTGGTTCAGTATTATGGTTTTGAACTTTGACAAAGAAAAGAAAGAATTATACAAGGTCTAATTTTCAATTTGTATGTCTTCATATTGATCATAGCAATCAACCTGCATTTTTGACAGGGAGGTTGGTTGCAAAAATGGGTAAGTTTTGTCCATTCGTTGTTTGCATGATTCGAGAATCAAATTAATTTTCAGCGTTGTGTATTTGCAGGAATGGGAACCTCTTTCATCGCAGCAAAGACAAGCAGCTTCTATAGTTGAAGTTTTTAGAATTATAGAGGAGGTATGTATCATTCCAAAAGCTATAAGCAGTATATGGTTAATTCAATATCAGATCATATTTTCCTATTGATGCCTGATGAATAATATGGCAGGGATAGCTTGAACAGATGTCAATTGACCTTTTTGCAGTCACATTGTCCCTTCCTGCTGGAAATGCCTCATTTCCAGGATTTTTGCTTCTATTTTAATTTCTGTTATTTATCTACGAAGTAAAAAAGAGAGAATTATCTAGGACCAGCTTTTTCTTGTTTTATATCATCGCTTCTAATCCGACTTGAGCTTGCAGACTGTGGATCAACTCTTTGGATTGAACCTTCCAATGGACATCACAAATTTACAAGCTCTACTGTCTATCATCTTCCACACGTTGGATGCCTATTTGGTAAAAATGGTTAATCAATTAGGTGTGTCATGCTATCTTCTAGTACATTTTGGAATTGGATACAGTTGATGTTGTATATCTTGGGTTTGTGTAGCAATATTGGTTTCTATTAATTTTGATAATAAGTCAGTTGGTAATGTTTCTTAGCAAATGTTACTGGTTAAAAAGCAGTCATCATTCTATGTTTATTAGTTTGCACACTTAGTTTAGGTATACAATTTTAATTATAATACCATTGCGATTACAGTTGAGAAGAATCACTTGTATCCATCAGCTCCTCCCTTGACTCGTTACAAGGAGACATCAATGCAAATAATGAAGAAAAAGCTGCTGGAGTGTATTCTTTTAGATGACAATGTAATCAACAAGTTAAATAATTTGACAGTGTCCAAACTTTGTGTCAGATTAAACACTTTAAAAGTAAGTGCTTTTCTTTTTCACTTATTCAAATTGACCTTGTATCTGGGTTGACATATCAGTGTGTGTGTGTGTTTTTTGGTTGAATGTTAGTTAAAATGCTGAATTGTATAATCTAGTTCTTTTCAGGGTAGAATCTTTACTCGTGTATCAGATTCCTGAAATTATCATCCTTTTTTTAATTGAATTAATAAGGTAAAAGCGTTCATTACAACGATATTCTCTTCACAGCTGCTAAAACCATTTCCAGTTTTTGACTTCCTATCGTGGTAGAAAAAGTCTAATATCACCAACCATCACCTAGCTCCTGTACCATGCAAGGTGAAATTAAAATTTTATTAGGATTGCTCAGCTAGTTGGCCTCTTCCAATATCTTTTCAGGTCCGTTAAAAACTTGAATTTCATGAGTTGTGAGGAGTTGGTATATATTTTGAACGTAGTGAAGTTTTATTATGCAGTCGCATATTCAATGGGATTGTTTTTTATCTCGCCCCCCCAACCACACACACACACACACACTCATCCCCCCTTCTATTTTGCCTTTGAGAGAAATCAATTCTTTCCTTTAGAGAGAGAGAGGGAGAGAGCTAGTTTGTTCTAGGAAATTTTTCTGCCTTGGTAGAATATGTTGTGGTGTAAGTTCTTAGGCAACATTTATATTTTTGTTAATGTATCATCGACTTATTACAACTTTTCTTTATAACACTGTGCCTTCCCTTGTGCAGTTTATTCAGAATCAAATTGACGTGCTAGAAGATGGCATTAGGAAATCATGGGCACTTGTTAGCCAATCTGACAAAGAAATATGGGGTGAGTTTCTAAGTCTATATTTTGTCAAATATACAGTTTCAGATAATTAGTTTCATACATAGGCGCTTATTTTTTTTACCTGGCGAGTCTTGATATAATTCTCTTGCATGTACGTACAATGTTAACCTTGTTAGAATAGTTCGGTCATGTCAAAAAGGGAAATAACATTCTGTTTGCTATTTTCTTTTTGGTACTTTCCATCGTTGTGGTATAAGTGCTTTGGGAATAAACTTTGTACATGGGCATTTCAATCTATTTGCATTCTTTCTGCTTTGTTTTATTATGTGAATTCATTGAGTTAAAGTTGATTGATATTTTGCGTGCTCAATTGTGATCTCTATTTCCACCAGCCAAGAAAGAACCTCAGGAGCTGACCTGCGGTGAAGAAGTTGATGAGCTATTTGCCACAACCTTTAACATTATCAGGGATACTTCATCCCATGCTATCAGCAAAATTTGTGACTTCATAGGTGAGTTAATTGAACCTCCTTGCAATTTAATAATCCTATTTTTTGATGAGAAACAAGGAAATTTATTGAAAAGAAAAGTAACCAAAATGTACAAACAAAGAAGGACAAGTCGTCCTAACAAACAGTGCAAAAAATAAAAATGAAAACTGGTAGTCAAATGAGCAGCAGACCAAAGGCAGTCCAAAAAATTGAAACTAAACCAAATCTAAGCCTAGTTTCTCAAAAAATAAGACCACTCCTGCAGTATATCGGGAAAGGAAATCCCCTCAAAATCTCTAATTAGGGAAGCCTAGAGCTGACCAATATTGAATTTTCTTAGTTACAATAAATTTGTCCTTAGAACATAATTTTCCATTTACAAGCTTTGAATGAGGATAAAAGCACTTGGCCTTTTTTGTGTCGGTTGAATTTTAATTTCAGGTCCAAGAGTTGTGTTCTGGGATCTCAGGGATGCATTTATCTCTGGTTTGTATCGTGGTAATGTTGAAGGTGCTCGTTTGGACAGTGTTCTTCCACATTTTGACACTGTAAGACATTTAAATAAAAAACCTATTCCCTCTAATTCCTGTCTTACTTGTGTGTCCATGTACATAAGAATGAGGCATTGACATATTTTACGTTTGAATTTTGAAGTTTCAATTTTCTTTCCTACCAATAAGTTTTTGAATGAATTTGTTCATCTAAGAGGCATTATGTAGGTCCTTGATCATGTATGCGGTTTAATTGATGACTGTCTTAGGGACCTCGTGATCTTAAGCATCTGCAAAGCATCACTGGTGCGATTTCAGCCTTGAATGTTTTCTTTCTTTTTTTTTTTTTTTTTTTTTTTTTAAATAAAATTTGCACATATCTGTGATTCAGGAAGGCTTTGCATGGGTGTTGCTTGACGGAGGTCCTTCTCGTGCATTTTCAGATTCAGATGTTACACTGTTGGAGGATGATCTAGCCATGTTGAAGGTATTTGTTATTCTTTTATCTAGCCGGGAGTCTTTTGTAACTTCCTCTTAACTGTAGAAAAGGAAAACTTTCACATTACATTACTCCCATGGGGTTAACACCATTTGGTTGAGTGAACGGTAAGTCATAGAACTAACATATCACTACGTCAAGAGTCCATGGATTTTCCACCTGTTTGGCATGCATGGATTTTAAAAGCATAGAATTATATGTGTATATATATATATATATATTACCCCAATGTTTACCTATCAATGGGTATCATTGTTTCAGCCGTAAGATATTAATCAAACGGTTATAATAAATTATATAGTTGACCAAAAAAAATTATGACAATTAATGGAACTAGATTTTTATCACGCTACGTTATCCAAGATGTCTATAATTGATGGTAACCATTGATGGAAACGTAACGTATACTATGCTAATGTCAAACTTGGATCGTATTTAGCAAAAAGGCCTAGAATGAGTGGTTCTTAGTTGCTCACACGTTTATTGATATCGATAAAGCTCGTGGCAGAGTCCCTTCTGCATAAAAATTTCCAGATACAATATTCTCATGATGGGGTTTGCTTACACTCTGCTAATGTCTACGAGTCATGAAGATATTTAACTGAATGTTGCTTTTGTAGGAATTCTTTGTAGCTGATGGAGAAGGGCTTCCCTATTCATTAGTGGAGCAAGAAGCAAAGTTTGCTGAGAGAATACTGGACTTGTATTCACTTGAGGTTTGATCACTTGTGACTGAGAACTATAAAGCCTTTGATTATCGTCTGAAATGGTAGTATAACGACGTTTTGTCTTTGTAGACTGAATCTGTCATCCAGATACTAATGACTGCAAGTGAACAAATTTCCTTGGGCTTAGAATCTCATGATCATGACCACATGCATGTACTCAACGTCCACACGTTAATGCGAGTTTTATGCCACAAGAGAGATGCAGAAGCCTCCAGATTCTTGAAGACGCAATATCAGCTCCCCATGTCCTCAGGTGATTTTCCATTCTCTTCTATCATCGAGGCTTTTGTCTTTCGCGTTAATAAAAAGACCTAAAGAAATTTAACGAGCTTTCGTGCTTTTCCTAGAAGCCAAAGCCACTAGTTTTATGCCCTGAAACAACGTTATACTACTTCCATCAATCTAGTTCAACACTGTTTTTCTTTCTTTTAATAAAAGTGCGCTGTTTCCTATAATAGTTATAAACTAAAAAAAAATATAGCTTGGAAACAGGCAATATAATAGTTATAAACTAAAAAAAGTATAGCTTGGAAACAGGCAATCTTCTTAGTCGATTACTTTTTCACAGAGTATGAGGACACACCATCAAAGGATTCAACATATGTATCTCCTCTGATACCAGTTCTTTTAAAGCGAAGCACCTCGTTTCACGGGAACAAGAAGAGTCATGGCAGTTTCAATTCGTTTAAGAAGAAAATTCAAGAAGCAACATTAGAGATCAGGAATGTAGGCTGGTAGTGTCCTTAGAATATATAAACTTGATCAGAAGGCATGCACCTTGCTTTCTCATTGTCAGCCGAAAAATGCTTGATTAGGCTGTAGGGTATCAGAAGTTGGAAAATCATTCTTTCTAGTTGCATTTCAGGTAATTAAATTTTGTTTCTTCATATCTTGTAAAGCTTCATTAGGAACTATTATCAATTTTGATTAGAGACGGTCTTTTCTGATGCAAAAGAGATGATGTATTATAGCTTTGCTAATCACATGTAGTTTTAAACTTTTTAAAAAAATGTTCTTTTTCTTTCTTTTCTTTATTTTTTTTAACAAGAAATTGCTTGTACTTCCCGGTTTTTCCGCGACTATTCTTTTTGATTTCGTGAATAAAATAGTATTTTTCTCATGTTGCAGAATGAAATGCACCTGAACTAATTGAATTATGCAATAGGACACATGCAGTGCTTACTAATAAAAGATAGGTCCTGTTTGTGAGATTGTAACTGCTGCTTATTTTCTATTTGTGGCAGTGTTTAACACAATAACGTTCTAAGTTTAGTTTGGTATTACTTTTCTCTTTCAAAATCGGTTTCTACTTATAGCAAAAGTTGATATCAGTATTTAATAAATTTACTTAAAAGTGCTTTTTGAAGAATTTTTTAAGAATCTATAGCTTAAATCAGAAACAGCTTAAAGATAATTTTAACTTTTAAATTGTGTAGGAATTAATATAGTATAATTAATGAAACTTTCATAATACTTATAATATACCTAATAAAATTTAAAATCTTTTCAATTTAAAATTTAAAATCGTAATATAATATAATAGTAATATTGTAACAAATAATATCATAATTATATTAATAACTATAATATATTATATTTTATCATATAATATGATATTATAATGATATTATAATTATTTTAATAATATAATAATGTAATTATAATATGATATTATAATTATTAGTTTATAATATATTATATATTATATTGTATTGATATAATTATATTTATTATAATTATAATAATATAATAATTAATAAAATTAAATATTAATATAATCTTATAATTTTAATATTGTTATATATTATAGTGCATCACGCACGTTATAGTTATATAATATATTAATATTATATTAAATATAATAATAAATATATATTATATTGTTATTATATATATTATATTATAGTATAATATAATATAATCGTTATTTTTAATTATTTCAGTTATTATTTTAATAATATTATTATACTCTATATCATAATTATATAATAATAGTTTTTTTATTATATTAAATATAATAATAAATATACATGTAATTATATATATATATTATAGTATAATATAATATAGTCATAATTTTTAACTATCCATAGCAATTCAACTTCATAATTTACTAAACGCTATTACACTGATTTTGAAACTAGTACAACTACTATAATTATAGTTTACTAAACACTCAGCTGTTTTTTGTAACAGTTATTTTTTCCTTCAGCATATTTAAAAATAATTTTTCTAAACTCTAGAGCACTACCAAACTAAGCCTAAGAGGATGTTTGGTAGAGAGATTCGTTCCCTGATTCGAATCATGATTCGTGGTTCGCTACAGTATTTTCTCTCATAAAAAATTCACGTAAATCGAAAATAATTCAAATCACATGATTTAAATTCTCCAACCAAACGTGCTCTAAGTCTTTTTTGAATTAATGAACCAAGTTACACTTGGATTAGTTAGGGATAGTGAGTGAAGTGGACCCAAAATTGAATAGAGCTTTATTGGGTCATATTCCCACCTTCTCACACGATGGGTCTCATTTGTTGTGGTAATCAATATGGAACTTACAATGGGGTCCGTCCTTCGTGAGAGGTTGGGAATTTAACCCATAGGGGCAAATAATATATGGAATGTTTGGTTAGATGATTTAAATTATGATTTAAATTATGGTTCATGATTCGTTACAGTGTTTTCTCTCATAAAAAATACATATAAATTAAAAATAATTTTAATTATATAATTTTAATTTATGAACTAAACGTCTCCATAAAATTACTGAGGTTGCAATAATTGCTGGCAAAGACACTAAAAAAATTGTTGGCAAAGTGGTCCACTTTGAAACATCAAGCTGACCTGTTTTGTCATACTTATCCTCGTCGAAATACACGAGCCATAAGTTCCACGCATACACGTGGAAAAGAAATGCTAAGCTCATCTCTTTCCAATAATAATAATAAAAAAAGGGTTGTTAAACTCACGTCTCATTGAAGCTCGGTAGTTTTTTTTGGCTAAAATATTGAAGCTCGGTGCTTAATGTCTGAGTCATCAGTCTTACCCAATTTGTTTCAGAAGCCATTTTGATTACGCAAATGTGCAACGTTGTGTTGATTACGGCATTGTACATTTTCAATTGCACAATGATCTGGGATCTTTCTAGACAGGAGTCCTTAGTGTATTCTTCTATAAACGTTAGATTAAGACAAAATGATATTAAAATTAGGAAAAAATTATTAAACTTACTAATGTATGAATCTGAATTTTTATCTCTTATTCTTAATTAACATCTTTTTAACTAAGAGCATCTCCAAAGGAGCTCTCTAACTTTTAATTAAATTTTTTTAACTAAAATAGCTAAAAAGCTATTTTAACTAGTAATTTTTAGGTACTCCCTATTTTTAACTAGCGAAACTGACTCAACTTTAAGCCCTATTAAAACCTGCAATAGAATTCTCCTATCTTTTAGAGGAGAAAAGTACATAGTTTGTCATGTTTTGTGTATGCATATTATTTATGTCATTCTAAATAATTAGGTGCCATTATAATTTTTATATTTTATTTTTATTAATAGAATGACAATTATTTATTTTTAAGTAGAGTTACATAAATAATATCTTTTACCATCTTAAGTGGTATTTCTGGTTTTTTCTCTATGAGCCTTTAAAATTTCATTATCTTATCTTGGAGACACTCTAGGAAGAGTATTACTTACAAAAGGAAAATGTCATCTTTAATTCAGTTTTTTCTGGTAAAAAATAAACCGTGGGTTAGAAAACCAGTTGAGCATTACATTAACATTAAAAATTTTGGATTACGTAATGACTAATGACATTGCTTTCATAGAATTTTTTATGAACTTGCGTCTCTGTCATTAAGAAAAAAAAGTAGAAAATGGATGAAAGACTAGGAGACATTTTATATCACTGCAAGTCAACTCATCCAGATTCCAGGAAAAACATGGTTCTCGAATAGTTATCTTAAAAGACGTGAAAGAAATACCATCCATGCCTTCTGCTTGTTTTGGAAAAGTTTTAGCCCTTTTTTTTTTTTTTTTTTTTGTTTTTTTTTTGTTTTTACAGATTCTTTCGTAAGCTTAACGTATCAGTGAGTCATATTTTTTTAATTATTGTATCTATATATTTTTTAACTCTTACGTAATTTTATATAAATTTAACAGATAAAAAACTTATTTTATTAGTATGTCGGAGAAGGTCGCTTTTTTTTTTTTTTTTTTTTTTTAAGTCATTTATGCTGTCTTCAATTCTGTAAGACACAAAAAAAAAAAAAAACCAAGACATTATCGTCTTTATTGGTAGAGCTACAATATATCTTTTTTCTTCTTCAATATCTGAATGATTTTTTTTTTTTAAAAGACGTTAAAAAAATTTCTATTGCCACGCGATAAAATCTGGAAAAAAAAAAAAAACAGCTGCTCCAATAAAATAAAATAAAATAAAATAAAAGGTCCTGTAGCCTTGCTTTGTTGTTCTTCTAATCCATTGAACTAATACGATCTTCTTTATAGTGGTCATGACTCAAGTCTTACTTTAGCCAACTGAAAATCGAAACCATGATAATACGTACAAGTTTCCTTTTTATGGTGTAAGCTTCAACACTTTGTCCTGATATGGTGGCCTTTTCAGAAGCCTTCAGTTTCCCACTTTAGTGCTTTTCACGTTTCTTCATTATGCATGAAATTCCCTTCTCCGCAAAACCCTTATAAATATATATATATAGTAATGATTTTTTTAAGAAGACATAGGGGACTTCTACAAGTAGAGAAAACTTTTCATGCAAGTGAGAAACGATCGAACGGTTGATGATAGTGCAATATGGATGATCAAACGTGCTCAAAATAATCTTGATCTTAATGAGTTTTTCCATGAACTGGTGTAAAACTTTCGCTTTTGTAAATCCTCTAGTCTCCTTATTGTTGAATTGAATCACAAGTGCAATAGAATCTCCAGGTGCCTCAAAAATTCTTTTTCTTATGTGCATAAATAGTCTAATAATTTTCCAAGCAATTTATTAGAGGTCCTTTTGGGAACGAGACTGCGATTCAATTTTTGTTGACTGATTCACTAAAAATTATTTCAATTCATTTCTTGAATTTTTGCGAGCTTATAAGGGGACCTAATAGGCATATAAATTCAAGTTAAAGTAATAGATGATTAAAAAGTAGCTTTGAGCTATATATACAACTTAACAAGGTATCAAAGACATCTACAAGTCTCATTTTTTGGCATATATATCAAAAACATTACTCAAAATATGAAATCTTTTTCCACTCAAATTAGGATAATGACAAATAATAATCATTAATAGTGATTTTAACTTATTTAAATGTAATTATTACATAAATCAAATTCAATATAGGTTCAATTCAATACAAATGTTGTTAATATTTATCAATGCTGAACCCCGCTCTCTCTAATGGTAAAGATAAACCATTCTCAAATAGGAAATAGATACTCATTAGAATCTTATAAAAAACAAAGCGCGCCACTTTGTTTTACTGGTTGTGAAATATACATTTAGACTATTAACTTAAAATTGTATCTTCTGATATATGTGACTCCATATGCATAATTTATTTTTCAATATTTATAATAGTATTGCGACTTCTTTTTGCTTGTAACTCATGATAGTAATTGCACAATTTATGTATGGAATAAATATAATAAAACTTTGTTAACTAAAAATAAATGTCATGGAAATATGGAATACATAAATGTATTGGCTCTAGGTGGATTATTCCTAACACGACAAAATCTAGGTTTTTATTTGTTATTTTGTATTATATTAAGAAATTTTTGTACAACAAAGCATGTATTTATCATTAATAGAAAATATAAGAGAAATTCGTATTTTATTAAAAATAATAAAATATATTTTTTAAACTATTTCTATTATATTTAAGCTATAATTCAATGCGAGAAGTCATGTATACCTATATTAAGAATTTCAGATTCAGTAATAATCTCTGGCTCTTTCTTAGCAATAATAATAATAAAAGAGTCTTACCTAGCAATTTTT